GTTTTTTTTTTTTTTTCCCTCCCAATTGGCCAAACTCCTAAATATTCACGCACCTTCCTCCGGTTGCAAAGCTGTCAGGAAGTGCCGCAGAGGATTCCCCCTCCTGCCTGGGGCACGTCCCTCCTGCCCCACAGAGGGGGAAGAGGACGATGATTTCCTTGTAGTATTTCTGGGATGAGAGGGTTGGCTCTGCCCCTTCCCGCTCCCTTCGCCTCTGCTGCCCTGATTAAGGGGGGACGGCGGTGGGCTAACGCTGGGTGGGATGGAGGGACGCCAGCCGCCGTGCCGGTGACGGAGGTGGTGGTCTTCTCGTTGCAGAGGGCGGAAGACTACGGTCCTGTGGAGGTCATCTCGCACTGGCACCCCAACTTGACCATCAACATGGTGGACGACCACACGCCCTGGGTGAAGGGCAGCGTGCCACCCCCCCTGGACCAGTGTAAGGGCCGGGGTGTGCTGGGGCTCCCCTGCTCCAAGGGCGGCTTTCTGGGGCTGGCCCTGCTGTCCCCTCTCCTCGGAGGACATGTTGGGGCTTCTGTGGGGAACGGGGGCTTGTTTCTCTGTTGTCAGCGTGACCCCCACCTCTCCGGGAGCTTGTACGGGGCTGGGCCGGGCTTCAGCAGCCTCTCGGTCTCTCCCAGGTGTTTGCCGAGGGGGATGACGGTGACCACGGCTCTCGCGGCTCCCTGTCGCCTGCTCAACCCTCCTTCTGCTCTTTCCCCTGGCTCCAGATGTGAAGTTTGACGCCATCAGCGGCGACTACTACCCCATTCTCTACTTCAACGACTACTGGAACCTGCAGAAGGACTATTTCCCCATCAACGAGACCCTGCAGCGCCTGCCCTTCCGCCTCTCCTTCTGCCCGCTCTCCCTGTGGCGCTGGCAGCTCTACGCTGCCCAGAGCACCAAATCCCCCTGGAATTTCCTGGGAGAGGACCTCTACGAGCAGTCGGACGAGGAGCAGGACTCGGTGAAGGTGAGAGCCGCTTGCGGGGCTCCATCCTCCCGGGTGGGGTTGTCCTGGTTGCTCGCGGGGGTGCGGTTTTGCTGCGGTTCTCCTGCTCGCCCCCGGAGATCGGGACCTCTCTTTCGTAGCAGCTCCTTCTGCGTTTCATGTTTTTCCCTAGCTTCGCTGAAAGAGCGTTCGATGCCCGTTCTTTGTTGTTATTGCTCCTTATTAATTACCTTCGCGATGCGAAGAGGGAGGGGTGCGCAGGCACCTGCCTGCTGCCTGTCTTAGCTACGTAATGAGAAGGGAGCTTGGAGGCCATAACGATAGAGAGGAATTAAACCCCTCATCCTCCTCGGTGCTCCGGTGCCCTGTGACCGACTGGATCCTCCCTGTTCGCCCTGGCGTTGGGCAGCGGGAGGGTGGGATGGAGCCTCAGAGGGGTTTTTGATGCCTGTTCCAGGTTGCTCTCCTGGAGACGAACCCCTACCTGCTGGCGCTGACCATCGTCGTCTCCATCGTGCACAGCATCTTTGAGTTCTTGGCCTTCAAAAACGGTGAGCGCCGCGGTGGGACCCCGGGGATCCGTGGAGAGGGGAAGGACGCGAAGGCGGTGTCGTGGCGGTGTCGTGGTCTTCTCCCCGCGGCGGTGGCGGAGCAGACATCCTCGTGCTGCAGCGCGGTCT